AAATTATAGTAAGGGCAAAGATCAAGTGTTAGTAAATTCATCTTTTAAAAATAAACAAAACCCTTAGAGAATAAATTAATACTCGCCAAATCATATACACACCTCTATTAAAGCCTAAAACTGACATTATGCGAAATTCTTGGTCTCTTAGCAACAGACTCACTGTTTTCACCCCCGACAGTATATAAAATATAGTAAATTACTATATAACGAACTTTTAAAAATTTTTACTATAAGACTCATCAGTTTGTTATAAACAGAATTGACTGTATGCTTATGCATTTGTGTTATATAATGATCGTCATGTGCTCCAGACAGTGTTGGCACATGACCAAGTCATACATGTCATATTAACAGGCAGAAATGTACCTAAAAATAGTAACACATTACACAATTCATAAAAATCGTAATTTATACATTTTAAAGTACTTTTTTACGTGGCTTGTGTAGCAGTTTGTCTCTAGAAACATGACAAGTCTACTAAGTAAAATTGAAGCCTTCATGCTGTACTTTAACAATATCAGTTGAATCTCTCTGAATTCCACAACTTTTTATATGACCAGTTGCCCTACAAAAGTATATGTAGGAATAAGTAATTATGAAATACTGAACTATGAATGCTAGATGTTGAGCAATAAAAACTGGAAAAAAGTTAAAGACAATGATCTAACAAGGGTAACGTATATCGAAGTGTTAGTTTATAGGGCTTTTTTACTAGTCGCTTTATGAATAAAACTTCTAAAAGACCAAAGCAATACAGCATATTATAATATGAACTAACCACATATATTTTGATCTTTTTTTTTTATTGCATATAATCTTGAAGATAGGTGAGAAACATATAGACGTATAGCATCATTTAATTTTTCCAATAGCATAAATATCGCATTATTAGATATTACACATACTACATATGTTTGGGTCCTAGGTTATTATCATATATTTAATATAAAATTAGACATAGCTTATTTATGTGTTTCTATAAATTATGACTGTTCGAAGTTAGATTATTAATTAAATAAATAAAAATAAAGATATATTGTTTATTTTGTAGCAAAAAATTAGGTACATATTCTGAAATTAAATTCATTATGTATTCAATTTTGCTTCGCTTTTGAATTTTCTATTTTTTTGAAGCTCATAAATTGATTGGCTGATTATCATGTGAAATACACCCTGTTTCAAAAAGTAGGTGCAGGTGTATCAAAAACGAATGTTTTGCCTCCATGAAATGCAATGATCTACATCATGTGCTTCGGAATTTCTGGACTGCGCGCTGTCCCTCATGGGTTTTTCTATTTAACAAATTCTACAAATCCTCCGATGTGATATTTAAAGTAGCTTTGAAATTGAATTGTTTCAGGCATGGAAGTGCATGCTTAATGCCACAGCTTGTCAAAATTGTAATGAGGTATGACATTTTTCGCCGTAACTCATAATTACACAGTTTATGAATTATGTCTGCATCTTTAGTAGACAAAAATTTGATTATGTATTGGATTAATTCATTTATTATATTAAAGTTGATAATGTCAAAGTTTATTACATACAGTTTATGTTTGACATCATTCTAATATAAAATAGTCTCGTAGTAAAACCACAGGTAAATAAACTACACAGACTTTTCATTATAGTATAATGCTATTTATGTTTATATTTTGACTCTACTAGCTTTTCACGAATTGTTTTACAATAGTAAATTTATTCACGATAAATTATTGTTATTAAATTCGAGAAAAATCTTATTAGCCTAGAAAAGATAGAGTTTTATTAAAAAATTTATACAGTAATTTGCGATAAGTGTCACTTTAACTGCTATAAACTTTTTCTTTTAAAAAATAGTACGATGATTTGCAGAAACTTAGTTTATAAATTTAATATAAATTCATTTAAATACTAAAATTAGAAACTTTGTCAGAATTTTGTATTTTGAGCGGCAAATGTTTTATGATAGCCTTGGATTACCGTTAGCTGTATGGGTGCTTTTGAATCAGAAGTGTCGATGTAGAAGAGAGTATACGTTGATATGGCAAGTTTTGTCATTATACGATACTCGGATCGTATACTCGGTTATAATCCTTTACATATTATGCTGTGTCTTTAATTATTATCATGAGTTATTCGATAAGCAACAAATTCAAATTTAGAAATTTGGTCTTCCTTTGTAGCAATAATATAATATATTCTATTGACTTTCTAAAGGAAATGAAAGATAAGTAACCTTTCCTTTATCATTGGTTGAACATTGGGAATTTACGGATCCATAAATAAAATCATCAGAATTTGCATTAAGAAATCCATGTTGACAATTGACAGAACAATTATTAAATAATTGATTCATTAAAATTAATTTTTGACATCTGTTAATGCTAGCGAATCTCTCAACTTCAACTTTAGTACCATAAGATATTGCTGATTGATTCCTGCTATTACGCCATTTAACGGGAATCCGACCAAAGCTACAATTTTCAAGTATCCCAGAATTTGATTCAACAGTACTATTATATAAAAAATAAATTATTATTACTGAAATTCAGAACAATAAATAGAAAATAATGATTCTTACCAGAAATTTAATGTCAATCTTTGAGAAACGGTTTCATCATCTACTGGTTCGGTTCTATTTTCAAGGCTGTAAGCAAATAAACATGCTGATTTTTCGCCTGTAAAATGAGAGCCTACAATAACTTTCGATTTGCTTGGATATTTTACTTCTTCTGCTTTTAGCACACAAGTTCCTAATATGCAGCCTTGATGTTCAGGAATGGTTGCTATATATTGATTATTCATTTTTGAAATAGAACAATTACAACTCTTGAGTATTACTGGAAACTCGGTCAAGTCGAAACCAAAGAATGTTGGAGGACCGACGATAATCCAACCAAGCTTAATAGAACTTGACTTTGATTTATTCCTAGATCTTATTGATTTGTTTTTGGATCTCTTCTTACTTTGGACAAGATGAACAACAATTACTGGGGTATTTTCAGCCGCATAATTTACATGTAAGGCATATACTTTTTTATCTTTATTATTTTCATTCATAATTGATGCAAAAATCTGACATTCGTTGATATTTGAGATTTCTGTTAGTTCTTCATTCAACGGGTAAACATATGGATCTATCCTTTCTAAATTCATTGTTATATCAACAACATTTGCTATTATTTTATTTATAAATAATTAGAAGCTTGTCAGATGATTTTGTACTGATCCAGATTAAGGGCCTACCTTTTAGAATTCGTTGATCTAAAACTTTTAAAATTTTGTTTCGTCTTTCATTATCCAATATTTCAAATATAGGATAAATGTTGTCATATCCAATTATCTCCCAGTTAAAAAAATCATCCTTAAGAGATTCTTGCCAACTCACTATACCACACTCATAATATTTAGTTGGATCACCCCCAATGATTCGAGTCTTTGAATCCATGCTTTTATTATTAGATTTAGTCTGGTCTCTAGCTCCGTGGGTGATGTTTAAATTAGCTTCAGTCCTAATATTTTGTACGTTAGTTTCTGCTTCAAGGTCTTCACCTACAATCAAGAATATAAATAATGGACAATCAAATTAAGATTCAGTACATTTGCTTATAAATAACTTACTTGAACTTTCGGATTTGATTGTTTGAATGATAGCCCCTCCAAAATAAATTCGTTGGGCATAAAAATGGCCATAAGTTGCAGAAATTTCGCGAAGCTTCATTATTTTTCTGTCATTTGTTTCTTCATTCAATGCATTGTCAATTTCTTGGAGAAATTCATCTCTTGGAGTGAAACATGACTTTGAAAAGTCTATTACTGCCTTCTGAAATTTGGTACATGAATACTTGATAGGTCTTTGGAAATGTTTAAGCTTTTCCTTTGAATCTTTCCGTGGCATACCAAGAAAGATAGAAAGCCAAGGTAATTTTCCTGAAACTTTTTCATCTAGTATAAAATTTGATTTACATAAAATTTCAAATTCGCTTTCGCATTCGATTATTTCGTTATAACACTTAGAGTCTAGACAGAATTTGGTTTCTTCATCATTGTTTCTAACATCAATTTTGAATGCTGGAAATTTGGCATTTGTGATAGCATTATCTTTAGTGGATATAAATCCTCGATCAAATTTTTCTATCAGCAAAGTCCAACCAAAATTGTTTTGTAATACAAGAATGTAATCTCCAGGGGTTTCATTCCTTGATATTCCATAACATTTTTCACGGCCGATATCACAATATGTTTTTAACTTAAGATGAAGAAATTATCAATATATATAAAGTAAAAATAATATTTTTATCAAATAAATTACCTCATTAATGAATTCCTTAGGACAAATACTGGATTTACGAATTAATTTTAATATTACATTTAATTGTTTGCCTTCTTTACTAAACCAAGATGCACGGAATACGGTTGAAAAACCACCTTTTGCAATTTCAATAATATTTGAAAATTCACGGTAAGGAATCCATGAAAATTGATATTCATTTTCGATTAAATCGTGTATGAGATGCTTTAAATTTTCGAAAATTGAATCTGTTTTTGGACGCTTTTCAGGTTCACTATCCCAGCATTTCTCATAAAGGTCAACATATTGAGATGGCGTGCCTTCTATAGGTTCTTCTCTTTTTCCTTGATATATTAGACTAAACACTGTAACTTGATCAGCGAACTGGAATGGCGATTTACCACTTGAAATTTCCCAGAGAATTATTCCAAGACTATAGACATCAGACATTTTATTACGTTTATAATTACTGATACTTAAACATTTAGGTTCTATATAAGCCATCATTCCGCAAAGGGTGGAGTTTGATGAAATTAGTGCATCTGTTTGTCTTGATAATCCAAAGTCTGCAATTTTTGGTTGTTTTCGATGAATTAAAATATTCTTTGAGTGCTATGAAATAAAAATAAATCAACTGTTAGTGAATTAAAAGGCAATAAAATATAATTTTCTTATAGAAATTATAAAATGCACCATGGCGTTTAACACCATATTTGTACTATAAAATTTTGTATGTAATTTTTTTGTGATAAACTTGGAGTTAGAGGATTAGAGTTAAGTAAAGGATTTTTTTTATAATTATTTGATATACTTAGAGTAAAAGTATATCAATAGCTAGTTTACGAGATGTAGAAACTATAGCGCTCAACATCAATGGTGCATTTTAGTAAACCTATATACTCACAAGATCTCTATGAATAATATTATTGTCATGTAGAAATAAAAGTCCATGTGTTATTTCTTTAGCAATATGTAATTTATCTGTCCAAAGTAATCTCGCGAAATTTACTTTTAGATATTCACGTAAATTTCCTTCATTAGCATAATGTAAAATCATATAATAAACTCCATCGTTGTCTATTTATATATAATATATATTTAAATTATTGTTCCATATACTCATAATTATATTGTAACTGTATAATACCTTTTGTAACTCCATAAAATGTAATAATATTTGGATGGGAATTAACTCTTTGTAATAATTTAAGCTTTTATCAAATAAATTATAGGAATTTTTAAGTTATAAATTATTATACTAGAAAAAATGGATTAAAATATAATCATACCTCATTAATAAATTCTTTTTCTTTTTTTTTATCTAAATTTATATCAACTTTAAGGCATTTAAGAGCAACTATTAATTTACGCTCCTCCCATTCATATTTAAATACAGTTCCAAACCCTCCGACGCTAATCTTTGAACGATTATTAAACTTATCATATTCAATATGATTAATATGTTCATCGGAAAAAGTCTCTATGAGCAATCCTTTTGAATTAGTCCCCATATTTAATGGGTTTTATTCGATTACATGTATAAACACCAGGAACGGAGTGATATTGGTTCACGAAGTGTTGGTTGTGCTGCAAAATATGTGCGCCCTATTCTAAACACAGTCGAGGCAAAAAATCCGTACATCCGATAGGCCGACCACCGCCTCCGATGTACAGAGAAACACAAATGAAATTCCCGGAAAATCAATTTATAAATAAGGATATATTGTACCAAGAAAGAATCCGAAATAAAACAAATAGATCGCCAAGCGTGAAACAAACAAAAATCATTAAAGATTACCACCAAGCAACGCGACGCGAGTACCAAGAAATAAAAAAAAAGAATACTTATCTAAAGACAACCAACGATAACAAACTTATTATACTTAACTATTATACTTTTGAAATTAGGAAAATAAACTACGCGATAGTATAATTTAGTTTAACAATTTAGAAATTAATATTGTATTGATTCGCATTATTCAAACATCGAAATTTTACCTTAGCAAACTTCGTGCATGTAATTTCAAATTTAACCCCTTATATTCGATACTTATAATCCCTTATGTATAAAAATTACTTTGATAAGTAAAAAAATATTTCGTATAAGTCAATTTATGACTACCATCGTATATACATTCGAAAATATAGGAACATATAGTGATTCATTATTATTAGTTATTCTTGCAATATTTTTAATGATTTTAACAACACCCCTTGTATTAGTAACAGCATTGATTGCTGAACATCTTATTTATCGAAACTTAAACTATTGAATTAAACTACTCTTGTATAACGATATCATATTTTATTAATAAAGAAACTTTTATATCAAATAAACTTTTATTTTATCAAATATCTATTGTATAATCAAGTAACTTGTTACCCAATAATGAAGAGAAATTAGTGAATGAAGAGACTAATTTACTCAACAGTAAACTCTTAGACTGATCACCTATGACAATACTATATTATCAGAAACAATACAAGTGAAACTATTTTACATGAATATTCATGCAAAGTTATTTATCTTGATAATACTCACATTATATTTAAGACAAACTCAAGCACAAATTATTATTTTCATCCCAATTACACAAGCACCAACTACAACTCTAAGCTCCACACAATTAAGCCAACTAAGCCAAACTTTATTCCTGAATACACAACCAACCATTGTTATAATAACACTGACACCAACAAACAATTCAAACAATACTTTAGTCACTGTTATTGAAGTATTAGGCGCATTATTAACTGTATTAACAACAATAATTACAACTCTTATTATTTGCTTTAAATGCATACAAAAGAAAAAGAAATGATATAAAGGTCAATTCAACAATGCACACAGCAACGCACACCCATTTACACAACTACCAAACAATACTTTAACTCCATAACAAATCTAACAATTAGCCACACAATTAACACAACCACAATCACAACCATGACAACAATTTCCTGTAGTAAGAACTGGATTACCATTACATTCTTAACCTGGAAGGAAAGCTAAATTTGCAAAAGTAAACACCCTGAATCAATCAGGACAATCAGGATCTGAAGATAGATATTTCATCTAGAACTAATCTATTACACTCTGATATCTATTATTTATGAACCCAAACAAACAAATATTAATTGTAACTTCAATTGCAATTATACTCACAGCCAAATTGACAGCAATACTCCTTATTGAACCACAAAATACACAAATTACAATATCAATTATTATTCTAATTCTAATAGCAAAATCAGAAATAGTTATTGTACTATTAGTCACTTTGACACCTTACCAATTTAATGACAACAGTCCAAACAATAACTCCAACCTTAATCTAAAACAACAACTTGAACCAACTCTATATTTGAACTACCTGCATCAACATTACTCATAATAATATTATTTGCTATTTACTTTAGATATTTACCATTACTATTATTTGTTACAAACAACAACAAGATAAGAAATGACTATATAAACAACACTCAACACTTGGATTTTATGCAGACCAAAACTCAGGCTGCTATTGTTAAAATAAATGACAAACTCAACACCAACACCAATACAACCAGATACTACCACAATTATTTATATTATAGTAATAATTATTGGAATATTTTTATTAATATCCTTAATTATCTCAACAATACTTTATTTTACTTGTCATAAAAAAAACATCAAAGAAATAGAAAAGGAGGACCCAGTAGAGCACTACAGAAACTGCTACCAAGTACAATATCTTAATATCTACCCCAAATCTTATCAGGAGATATACCTTTCACGATAGATTTTCAAAGAGAAATACATGGAGACATTTATTACTTAGATATCTACCATTAAATGTGTTTTACACAAAGGAATTAAAAGAAGAGAAAAAATTTAAAGAAACAAATAAACTTTTCAAATCAAAACTACTGAACAAACCAATACCATCTATATAATTTAATATCACAACAAAAAGCAAATTTATCCCAAAATCACTGACAAAAAATAATAAGTTATTTAAAACAAAACCCATTTGGAACAAATACTCAAAGGATTAATTATTTATTTGGAATATAAATGAAACTCTTTATCTTATTATTACTATTAATAAGGATAGTTGTAAGACAACAATAATTTACTCTCATAATACTTACTATACCAACTGTAACTCAATTTATAACACCAACTGGTACACCAACAACTATACCCAACCAATATTCACTACAGAGACTACAACACCAGGATACTTTAATAACCAAAATATTATAAACTAAAATATTGTATCTATAATACTAGTAATACTAGTAGCAGGAGTAATCATCTAGACAAAACATAGTCAGAAAACCCAAGAAAAACTTGATATAGCAAAGAACTATATTAATAGTCAAATACAAACAGAAGAAACAGTTAACAATACTATAATATCAATAACGATGCAAGTAGTTTAATGGCAAACCTACCAAACATATTCAAATTTTAAAATATACCAAATTCAAGTATTGTAAAAATGATGAATCTAAACCGTGTACAGAACTCAAAACAACAGACCAAATACTGAAAGATTTAGAACAACAAAAAAAACAGATACTCAAATCAAAATACTAACAATTAATCTAACAAGAAGAAAACATCTACTAAAAAGCAAAAATAATTATTGACCAAAGAAAAACTACTAGTACAGACATAGTATTTGCATTATTGAAGCAATTGCAAAAACATACCAACAAGATTTAGAAACTATAAGAAAACACACTAAAGTAAAATATTTATACAAAATTAAGAATGAAGACAACCCCAATATGGAGTAACCAGATTAGTGAATTATGAATTTTAACAGTGAACATTCAAATATCAATATCAAAATATAGATTAGAAGTAAGAAAGTATTATCAAACAGTATTCACAAAATACTTTAATACAAACACACCTGAATACCCAACACTATCTAGCGAAGACAAATTAAAGATAGTAAGGATAATACAAAACCAAGACAAAAAGTATTTCAACAAATAGTTTACAAAAATTATTATACCAAACTACAAGAGAGAAGAAGTATTCAACTATATAAAATACGGACATATTCTTAATAGATATGATATAATATACAGAGGACTATTAATTGCAAACCAAACAAAAGAAGAATATATTCAATATTGTCTATTAGCAAATATATTACCAATACTAAACATAAACAACACTATGAAATAAATGGTAAATACTAAACAAATAATCCAAAAACTACAAGAAAATGAATTGACAATAGAAAACAGAATTCAAAAACTCAGAAAGAAAATTAGACAAAGAAATAGTAGAATACAACAACTTCAAACTGAAAAAGAAAAGTGGTGACAAGTTAAAACTGTAGATACATTGGAGAATCAAAGAACCTAAACCTACAAAATCAGTAACAAAATAAACAAATAAAATGGCAGACAATGTCAAATTTGTCGACATAACCAATTGGAACTTTAATGAATTAATGGGAAATTGGAAATGCAATGGTGCAAACTGGCTAGAATAGAATATAGAATTTGAAAAAAGAATACAAGAAAAAATACTATTAGAATTATTAGCAACAGGATATTTTACTAGAAATTCTAAGAAAGGATGGACAAGATTTAAAACGAATGATAACTTAATAAAGAATGAAACAACTGGAATGTTTAAGTATATTTTATGAAACTAGTAATTAACAAAATAGCTATACAATTCTTTACAACAGAATTATACAGAAAATACCAAGCAAAAGCAGCATTATTTAATTGCTACTTTTGTAGTAACTTAGATAGAGGAAAAAAATTCTATCATATGAATGGGAATGCCTCTACAATACCAGTGCTAAAAAAATGTAGTAAATAATACTGATGCAGTAATACTAAATCCTATTGGATTTCCAAAAGAATTAAATGACAAATTCACAAAAAAGAATGTCAGAAACAACAAGAAAACAGGACAAGACATTCTTGACTTTTATGATGACACTGTAGACATAAGGTCTACACAAGTATCATTTAAACTATGAAAGGATATTCAAAATATTACCTCAGAATTCACACTAGAAGCACAACGAGCATTCAGAAAACTAGGGTTCCTAGGTTCAGTTCAGTTCAGATTCAGGTTCAATGAACCTGAACCTGAACCTGAACTTCAAATTTTGCAGATCATTGAACCTGAACCTGAACTGAACTT